ATTACAGTTTTTACTTTATTTTTAACCAAATAAATGCAGCCTTGGTGAGCAGAAGACATTAAAAACATTAAAAAAACATCTCGCCAACCCTAAACTGCTAAACTTTTTACTGTACTGTACTTTTTACACAAAGTTTGACTACCTGTATATTCTCTGGCTGAACTTTTGCCATATAATTACTGCTCTGATTGCAAAAACCATTTCTGTTAAATTAGGAGTAATCTGCATTTAGTGAAGCTTCCTCAACACTGCACCTCTATTTCCCAGCGATTGCTGAGAGATGAGTTTCTCCAGACGGGCCCGCAGCTCAATCTCAACTCCATAATGTCCGTGAGTGCCATCATCCACCAGCAAGAAGTGAGTGTGATTGATATCGAGACAGGAGAGATGGCCCTGACCCTGCTCATCCAGAGAGTAGTACGCAGGGAAACAACCCTAAAATAGACAAGACAAGAACCCGGAAAACGCTGTTGTTATAAAATCAATAATAGGATCAATTTCAGCCTGCAGTTATCAACATAATAGCTACTGTAAAAAACATTAAGTAGGTCTGGTTTAACATGCAGTACCATCTTTATAATATATTTGCAATGCTACAGATGGGGATTTTAAATTAAACAACATTGTACTGTAATTTGCATTGTTTGTGATTTTAATGCACTTCTTATTAAGTTTCCCAAAGCCTGTGGCATTAGATTTGTTTTGTGAGCATGATAACATTAAAAATAATATACTGATTAATATTATTGATCTTCAATAGATTTAAACGCAAGTAAAAACGGAATTAGAATTAGTTAATTTGATTTCGGATTCGATTTAAAACTTGTGCATCATCACGCAAAAACAAAAATGCTCTCATTGACCAGGAAATCCCAAACTGGGGTTTGTGAGTTGATAAAAAGCTAATAATTAATTAAATCATACAAAATGTAAATAAATAATTTTAAAATAAAAGCACAATTTCTAAAAAATATAAAATATTTTATTTGTTTACCTGCATTGTCATGTGACCATTAACCCAAAACTGATTAATGTCAAAAATAGTATTAGAGTTGGTGAATTTGATTCATTTCTGTTAATCATTTCAAGCCAGTTCACTGCAATGAATCTATTCAAAACTCAGTGCATCATCACTCAAAATCTAAGATTTGTGAGGAAACCGAGTTGATGAAAAGCTAATAATTAAATCACCAAAAAATGTCAAATTAAAATAAATTATTTGACAATAAAAGCAATCAAAAGTATAATTCCTAAAACAATGAATTTGTTTATTTGTTTACCTGCTTGTCATGTGACCATTAACCTAAAAACTTATTTGGAGTTGTTGAATCTGATTCATTTTTTGTTAATTATTTCAAGCCTGTTAATTTCAATGAATCGATTCAAAACTCTGATTCAGTGACTCATGTGCATTATTGTTCAGAAACTGGGGTTTGTGAGGAAACTGCAAGGGCTTTGTGAGTCGATGAAAGGCTAATAATTTTTTTAATGATAAAAATTTTAAATTAAAACAATTTTAAAATAAAAGCAATCATAATAAAACCGTTTCTAAAAAAGGTGAAATATTTAGTTTTTCTGCCATGTAACCAACATCAGCAAAATGCGAACATGCAAATGTGCTGTTAAATTATTGAAAAATGAACATCAAGTAAATATTTTAGCTCGAAGGGTTCAGCCGACAAAAAGTTTGAGAATCTCTGAAGTATAAAAATTTATAATTACATTTATGCATTTGGCAGATGCTTTTATCCAGAGCGATAACACTTTGTTACTTCATGCATTCCATGAGAATCAAACCCATAAACTTGGCGTTGTTATCAGCATGCTCTATTTTTTAAGCTACAGCAATAGCTTAAATGATCTGGGGTTGTTCATACTGTATGTGGCGTGTAGTTCAGGTGAGGGAATCATCTGACCTCAGGATGGATGAGTGCGTTTCGGTTGTGAATGACTCCCCAGGGTGCCACACCGATGACGACGATCTGTCCCTCCATCAAACCGCTGCTGAGTGTGTAATCTCGCACGGCCATGCCCACATGCTTCATCACACCGGCGTGTGTCCCTCCTGTCAGGATCCACGCACCTGCCACACGGAAAGCAGAGTAACTAGAGAAGTGCAGTTCTACTAGATAAGTCTAACCGGTGTAATGCACCTGAAAAAGCATGTCAACACAAACCATCAAAAACTTGATTCTGCAGTTTGTGACGGCTGCACACACATGCTCTAATTCTCTCATTTTCAGTCAGTGTCATTGAGAGCTATAGACAAACCTGGCAAGCTACCTACATATTTAGCATTTAAGGCATCACAGACAAGCTTTTGTTATGTGCAATAATTTTTTGGTGATACTGTTTAATGGCAGCATGTGTGTGTTTTTATGGTATATACTTATGTGAAAAGTAAATGCAAAATAACTTTTCCTATGCGATAATAAACTGAATCGAACTGAACATGCTTCTAACCAGGGTTGTTATGGTTAACTAAAACTAAAACCATAAAAAATGTCATTACTTGAAATAAAATAGACATTAACTGAAATAAAACAAGTATTACATTTTTTAAAATATTTTATTTTATTTCAGTGAGTGGCCAAGGCAACATTCCTTATTTTTGTTTAGATTAATCTGAAGTTTTAAATGACATAAATTAAATAAACTAAAACTAAAATTTCATGAAAACCGTATTTAAAAAATAATAAAATAAAACAAATAAAATGACTTAAACGCACACCAAAATTACAAAAACTAACTAAAATTAAAAAGAAAACAGATAGGTAGCAAAGATCTGACCAATCAGGAAAATTAATCAGATCTGGGATAAATTTGATAGCAGCAGATATTTTAAGGTTATACACTGGTGGTCAAAAGTTTGGAATAATTACAACTTTTTCATTTATTGAAAGAAGTCTCTTCAGCTCACCAAGGCTGCATTTATTTGATCAAAAACACAGCAAAACAGTAATATTGTGAAATATTATTACAATTTAAAATTATATGTTTTCTATGTGAATATATTTTAAACTGTAATTTATTTCTGTGATCAAATCTGAATTTTCAGCATCATGACTCCAGTCTTCAGTGACACATGATCTTCAGAAATCATTCTAATATGCTGATTTATGCTGCTTTAGACCTTTATATCTAGAGCTATGTGGTAATTTAGTTTACACTGGGCACTTATGCAGGCTGCTGTACCTGTGGTCTGGGCGACTTTGATGAGGCCTCGACGGAACTTGTCCTTCAGGTGAGTCTTTATGTAGAAGTTTTTGGCTCCGCCGGTCACTGATATCAGCAGGTTCGGTGAACGCAGTTTCCAGTGTTCTGTCATCAGCTGGTACAGACTCTCACAGGACGTGTCCGACGACACCCGAACATACTAATCACACACGACAGAAGAAAATAATAATTCTAGAGCCTCTGCAGGGAATGGGTGCCGTCAGAATGAGAGTCCAAACAGCTGATAAAAACATCACAATAATCCACAAGTAACCCACACCACTCCAGTCCATCAGTTAACATCTGGAGAAGACAAAAACTGAAACAAATCCAGCATTGAGACGTTTTTAACTTCAAACCGTCATTTCAATATGTGTCTATAATCCATAATAACGCTCAATCAGGAGAGAAATCTGCACAGATCAAGCACCGTTTAAACAGTCCAAAACGGCTGGATTTTGATGTGAGAGACAACAGGAGTTGCACTTTTTCACTGGAGGAAGCATTATTATGAATTATGAACTCATATTGTAGCTGGAAGCAACATTTGAAGTTAAAACGTCTTGATGATGGATTTGTTTCTTACAAACACACAGCTTTTGTCTTCTCCAGATGTTAACTGATGGACTGGAGTGCTGTGGATTACTTGTGGATTATTGTGATGTTTTTATCAGCTGTTTGGACTCTCATTCTGACGGCACCCATTCACTGCAGAGCATCCATTGCTGAGACACTGATGCAATGCTACATTTCTCCAAATCTGATGAAGAAACAAACTCATCCTAATCTTGGATGGCCTGAGGGTGAGTAAATCATCAGCACATTTTCATTTTGGGGTGAAATAATATACTTCAAACATCTATAACACACAGGAGGTCTGCTTGAATCAAATTTTACCTTTCCGGTTTTCTGTCCAAGTCCTCCAAAGCTGATATCTCCAAAGGCATCGGTGGGCACCTCTCTGACGTGTCTGTGTCTGTCCCACTGCTCCCCCATATAGTCCTCCGGTTTGATGGCCTCATCGCAGTGCTGGATCTTTGGGTGACCACACTTACAAATCCCCTCCCTGCCAACAGTAATCCATGTTATCCACACATGAGTTACAGCCCAACAACACGCGCAGCACACATATTGTCCGAATGTTGCTGAACTACACACAGAAGCCAACAGGAGTGTATACACGTGATCTTTAGTTTACCGCTTGTCAACGGGACCATTTCTGTGTGTCGTATTGATGTAAAGTGAAGTTGCATACACTGAAAACATCTGGTGTTGGATTAAATTTGAAACAATTTTCACTGAGAAATTGCTAGTAAATTTCACAAATAATTACAAAGGAATGAAAGTAACACATTGAATTAAACATAAAAAGACTTCAATATTATTTTCTTGTAAAACGTACTTCGATAATCGTTTTATTTACAGTATTTACAGTGCATGATTGACACCATTAATTATCCTTCATATTTTAAACACACAGAATAACTTTTAAAAGAATAGTTCAGCTAAATATATTCAATGGACAAGTCAGGATAATTTTATTCATAATTTTGGAGCTCAACAATAAAAATCCCCCTCCAATTTCACTGCATGGGAAAACAGCAGCTCAGGTATTCTGCAAAACATCTTTTGGGTCAAAAAATCATACAGGTTTGGATGAGTAAATTGTTATTATTATAAAAAAAATAAAAAATAAAAACTTGCAAAAGTTTCTGTAAAAACAAAACTAAATTAAACACTGTAAAACCTGACATATGAAATAACAGTCAGAAAAATCTTTCAAAATAAAAATGAAGAGTTTAGAC